ATATATATATATATATATATATATATATATATATATATATATATTAATTCTTGAAATTCTTAATTGCCCCTTAATATTTCAAAGAAGCATGGTAAATTCATATGTTAAGCAAGAACTTTTAATATGCAAAGATGGAAAATAATATCTTTTTTAAGGCTGCCAAATTATTTTTAAATTATTAAACTGTTAAATAGTATGAAATTGAATGAAATATTTAAAGTTGTCAATGAGTTACTTATCCATTTATAATTAAAAATATTTACTTATTGTTAAATCACAGAAATGGCCGTACTCTTAGTCTGAGTGTAAATAAACTCCAGTATTTTGTTGCAAAAGCTGAATTATTCTATTGCTGTATTGGCATTAAGTTGTATTGAACTTCATCCATGAAAGTTAAAGTTTCCAACTGTGCTAGATATGAATAGCTTACTACTTTATATGTATTTTTATTTGTATATGTTAATGCATTCAGTTCCTTTTATGTCTTATTATCATCCCAATGAGTGATAATTACCGGTTCTGAACTTTTTTATACTGAAAGATTGCCAGATTTAAGTCATAATATAATTGAAAACCAACAGAAAATGAAGATCACACTATTGCCTATTGCAGAGGTTCTCAAACTTTTTTGAGTCACTGTACACTCGCCCGGATTTTCCCAAGATGGTCAAAATCAAAATCAAAACTAACAAGTTCTCCATGAAATACCGGAAGTGAATTTTTAATGAATTTTTTTTTCATTTCTGTGAGGGAAGAGTTGTGCACAGTTAGGGAACCTCTGGCACATTACATCACTTTAAAAAAAAATATTTTTAAAACAAAAACTAAAAATATATTGATGAAAGAGCTGGAAATTATTTCTCTTATTTAAATTGTAATAAATTTGTGTAAAACATCTTTTGTTTTTTTGTGTTTTTAAGATAAGTTATTAAATAATAAAGTTTGTCATGAAATAAAATATTACTCTTTTTAAATGTCTTCTGTCTAATGAAGTTAACTAATATAAGTTGCTTTAACCCTTTCCACAGCAACTGGTTGTAAAACACCTGGAAACAGACTGTGATTGCTTTTAAATAAATATTCTGAATGCCTTTGGGTACCAATACAAACAATAATAACATTTATTCAACTTGACAAACCATTTCAATTCAAAGCAGAACAGTCACATGTACACATGCAAAATAGGGGCTTTGCAGCTCAGCTTGCACAGTTTTTACATAACAAAACAGAATGTTCTTTGCAAATATGTCTAGTAAATTTGCTGAGTTGACTGAAGTGGTTTGGGCAGCTGTTATAACTCTTAATAAAGATTTCAAAACACTGGCAATTTTCTATCTCACAATATCTTAATGTGTCGGGACGGATCGCCTCTACTTGCAGAAGGATGAGGAAATGTGCAAAGTCTATATTTACTGTCTGTTGTCCTCATGAGACAGTGAGTTAGTCTCATATTTATATTTAAATGTCACTCTTGCTACAATTGATGCTAAGTCAACAATGTTGAAAAATAAAACCAAGGGCCATCTTTTAATTTTTGTTTGTTATATTCACAGAGAACACCTTCGCCATTTGGTCCATGGCGAATATGCCTCCTTTGATTTTGTTGTTATAGAGCACAATCTCTAGTTTCTGGCATTCAGTTTCACTTTCCATATCTGGATGGTTTTGTTCAGCAGCAATACATTTTTCTGCTTCAAGTTCTGGTATTTGACAAGGTTGTTTCTAGTCTGAACAAAAACACTGATTTGTTGAGGGGCAGAGCCTTCTTTTGCCCGAACCCCTTGGTTAGAAACATATTTTTCCGTTTCACTGTTCCAACTAGAATGAGTCTGTTCTTGGCCATTGGTTCTGTAAGTTGTAGGGGAATGAAATAATAGTCTGTTCTGAAATTGCGGCCACTTCCATGGAAATGGAAGTCCCTTGTGAGAGAAATCACAGTCATTGGGGATATTCTAACATTTCTCTTTGCTGGCATGGCACTTGCATTTTCTTTGCCAAGATATGGGCAGCTTCTCAGAGGATAGTTTGAAGATGATTCGCAGGCCCAGAAGATTTTTATTCCATATTTGTCAGGGTTTTTTTGGCAAATATTGAATAAATCTGCACTGACCTCTGAAACCAACCAGTTGCTCACTGCTGTGATGTTCTCTCCAAGAGCATAATACCTCATCAAATTACTCAGGAATGCTTCTCATACATCTCTTATGGTATCAAAGATGTCACGAGCCAGAAAGGATTGATCTAGTACAGTATCCTTGTTGTCAAAGCAAATATGAATCAGAAGTTTGCTGAATCTCTTCATTGAAAATTCTGCCCTAAAAAGAGGATGTCCATCAACAGGGCTGAATAAAAATTCCACTGAAATGCTGTTCAGGTGACACTGAAATGCTGTTCAGGTGAACACTGAAATGCTATTCAGGTGAAGAGCGCCAGTGTGTTGTTGGCAGCCATTTCATTTCAAAAGCTTTCATTTAGATCGAATCAATCCCTTGCCATTTGTCTCATTTAATTTCTCGCCTTCCCTATTGGTGCAGTCAACTATTGTTTGTATATTTTTCATTAATGTGCAGAACAAATGCTTCAGTGGGAGAAACTATGTGATCTGTGAAGGGAGTTTGGTTAAAAGGCAACTAAATCATGCCACATTGTAAAAAATTAAATGATATAAAGAGAGTCATTTACTGTGATATAAGACTATGGGTGTAAAACCCAACCAGTTGCCAGAAATCAGAAACACTTTTTCCCATTATAATATTAATAAGTGTACAGGTGTGCTACACCCAGTTGCCAGGGACAGTTTGAACAAATTCTTTCCTCAGAAAGGGTTAAAAGAAGGTAAAAAAATCACTAATTTAATTTTTGACACATAAAAATTTTTTCAAAATACAATTCTTATTTTTACGTTATTTTAATTTTATGAAAAAATATGCTTTTGCAAACCTCATTTAAAATTTCAGCATACTAGATCATGATATATTGAGATTACAGGATCATCATTAAGTACATTGACAATTTATAAAAGTAACAAGAAACATTTGTTTAAACTACCAGTAAGTAATTTATGATTTTTAATTAAATTTGCCTAAATAATAACTACTAAAACTCTTAATCAATATTAAAAGCTGAAATTATTTTATTTTAAATATATGTAGGTGCAGTTCATTTAGTCAGAATACTAGAGCATCCATTTACAAAATATTTTACCTTTGCAGATGATAATCAAAATATGAGACAATCAAGCACATAAAAAAGTTATTATTTTTTTGTCCTTATATTCGTAAAAAATGAAAGTCATTTAATCAAATAAAGTTAACTAAAGTCAATATCTAAAAGTGTACTTTCTATGCAAACTTGTGTCAATATATATTGCTACATTATTCATGTTTTTGATTTTTACCAATTTAAATTTATTTTAAACACCCCCCCCCCCCCAGGGAGAACATTTAAACCAAAAGAAAAGTAATATAAATCTAATAAATTAGTAATCTAATCAATGAGAACAATATATGCCTACAGGATTGAGTGATTGTTTATATGCTACTATCGCAGTACATAGTGCGGATCTGAGGGAGGTGCCATGGGCATTGGGATTTCTCATGGTCAAATAAATAATGATACTACCTTAGTTTACGGAAAAAAAGGGTTTAGCAACCGATTTTCGTCAGTGGACCCCTTTTGCCAGTCAGATAAAAACCACACACCCGTTCTTGTAATTATTTAAATGACTATAAATAAAATAAAGTTACAAAAGTAAAGAAATGCAGCTCATGGACACCCAAGGGCCTGAGGTCATAAAGGTTAGAACATAAGCCATAAGCCCTGCTTCTTTAGACTCACCCAGACTGTAAATAAATACATTTTGACAAAATACAATGACACTTCATTTGCTGCCCACGGATACTACTTCTAAGCTAAGTGCTATTTTTAAATTTTATTGTTTTTTCTGTTGTTTGTTCGCTGACGAATGCTTCCTGCCGACACGTTCGTTGTTTTGTTGCGTTCCTTTTTTAGGTTTAACCCTACTTTGTTTTACTCATTCTATATTTTCAATGCTAACCTGATTGCGGTATCTCCCCTTAATTTTGAACAAATTCTTTCCTCAGAAAGGGTTAAAAGAAGGTAAAAAAATTAAGAGCTGTCGTATGAACAAACTGAAAAAAAAATAATAAAAAAAATAATTTTATATAGATATATGATTTGCGGATTCCTTAAAATTTAACAACTGTGCAAGTCGGGCCCCACAATAAATGATTTGCGGATTCCTTAAAATTTAACAACTGTGCAAGTCGGGCCCCACAATAAAAGTTAGGGTGTAAGTAGAAGAAACGTCTATTTAAATTTAATTCATTCGTTCTAAGCGAATGAGATGAGAGATAAATGGTCTTTACTTGTAGTGTTGTAAATGCTTCGATTATTTCCCTTGATTGGTGTCTCGTGATGCTTTTTAATTATACGGAGTTAAATATTTCTAAATATTGTTGTTTTTTTGTGTTTTTTTTTGGTATTTAACAAAAATATAAAATGTTATTTCTTAAACCCATAAAGAAAGAAATAAACTTCGATATTTATTTTTCTGTGTTTAGAAGGCAAGAAAATAATTTCATTGTAAAGAACAGTATATTATTAGTGCACTTTTAATGATGACGTACATTACCGGAAGTAGTAATAATAAAGCTGAAGCTGAAGGCTACCAGAAGAAACCATTGACAAGAGATCGACAGCTTATTTTCAAATACTGTATATTATCAGTATAATTCAAAATGAAACAAAGTGGGCAGTTGCCGGGTGTGGACCCTAAATCATTTCGCTGCTGTTTTTGTTGCCACGTAAAAACAGGAACACTGTTCTATGGGATAGTTATTGCGGTAGGGCCTTTTTTTCTCTCTCCTGACTGATTATAATTTAATGGGAAGAATAGTCCAATTTATTTAGGCCTAGCTGATTTGTCACAACGGTAATGATCGGGAAAACCCGATAATAGAGCATTGCGAGTCCGCCTGTCGAAATAATGACGACCACCTATCAATTAATTTTTGAAATTACATTGTAATTTTATTCTTAAAGTTAAAAAAATAAAGTAGTAATTAGTAAGAGGTCATCTTAGTCTCAAACTTACACTTGGAACTTAGATGGTTATTTATTTAACATTTTCCCCATGGCCATGGGAGTGCATCTTTTACTATTTGTCCAAAAATAGGCACTTTGGTATAGCAAGGAATGTTGGTGCTTTTTTCATTGAATTCATTGATAAAAGGACTATTTTGTCATAAAATTGTGGTATTCATCCACATGTTTACAGTTACAGTCTTGGATATCTTGGCCTACATTTCACTTTCCATTTTAATTTTTTGCCTCTTCAATCGACCCCCAATATTGGAAATTCCTAGATTATATAATGTATTTTTCTCTAAAAGTTTTATGAAGGAAGTTCAAAATCTATGTTAATCTTATTAAACTTCCTCATCATTATATATTGATGTATATGCATGCCAACTTATCTCATTGAGTTAGGACATATAGGATATCAGCCATTAATTATGCCCGTCCAAGTAACCTGCATTATCATAATTATTAGGTCGCACGGGCACAGGCCTATTTCGACCACACACCCTTTTTAATGGCGGAAGATGCCAATATTTAAGAAAATTAAATTTTCCATTATTACCACTGTTCACATTTGATGACTTGAATTTTAGAAAAGAACTTAAAATGCATTTAAACAAGAATATTTTTATTTGAGGTTTACTATAAATTATCATAATTTGCAGTGACCAATACAATATCATGAGCAACCATTCATAAAATTAAAAATCACTTGCATGTTCTAAAGTATTATTCTGATTGTTTCATTCATAAGAGATTACAGTGTGTAAAAACTATTAAATCATTGGTTAAGGACAGCTTTAATTAATTTGTCATTTGCAAAAGTTTAAAGTTCAAAATAAGTAGTCCCAAACCAGTATTATTTTTAGGGGTACGCTTTGCCTTACATAGTCTATATACCTGGTATATAATGTAATGGATGCCTAAAACATAGTGAACAGAAGATCCATATTGTATTTATTAAAGTTAATAATCTAACATAGCTAGATACGTTACAATGTATTTATAAATGCATGATAGTATTAAAAATTAAAGTTAATGTTAGAACTTTTAATACCTGGCATAAATCCTGAAAATAGTTTTATAAAATTATCATTTAAACAAAAGTTTTTGCGCATGACTCGATCAGTGGAATTGGTTCACAAATGTGGATGGGAGTCCATAGTAAAAAAAAATAACAAACGAACTTGCACTTTAAAAATTCATAGCTCAAAAAGTGCTTAAGCTAGAAAGTTTATTATGGTTTCATTTTTTTAAAATACAACTGTAACAATTGGGAGGGGTGACATCACTAGGGTGAGACAACTCTTGTCAAAAACCCATACCGTTTACTCAAACTTACCTATCTTTTTAACAGTGAATCTTCTAAATTTTATTTTGAAGGCATTAGATTTAAACTAGTTAAAACATATCGAAATGTAAAATATTGGGAGATTACTAATTACAATTTTTATTTTTACAAATACCATTTTAATAAGACAGTTCTCAATTTTTCTGTTTCAGCTCATCCATCTGGTTTTCTTGGGATTTCTTATCCTTGCTGCCATTCACCCTGATGTTTTGGTACCAGATAACAAACAACAGTATGATGGAATCATTGTTGTGCAGACAGAAACAGGAAATTTCATTCAAAACTTTCCTGATCAGCCAATTAAACAACAGATTAGTAAAGGTGAATTATTTCCTTAGGGTCAAACATAAGTAAAGTATATACTAATACTAATTGGGACCAGGGGTGGTTTAGGTGACCTATTTTTGGGTCATTACAATGTTCCAACAGAATGGTTGCGTTAATAAGATATAATATAAAGTTACCTTATCATGTATCATAATCATGTATTTCATTTATACTGTTTTATCGTATTGCGTAATAACCATACCACAAGGTTTATCAGGGTCAGCTGATTGTCAAAAAGCGGTTAGGACTGGAATATTTTTTCTTCAAAAAGGTTGTTTATAAAAATAAACGACTAGTGCTTATAATAAAATCTAAGTTCTCTATCTTAGTTGTTGCAGGCGTATTTATTAACCGTGAACTTCCCATTGCCTTGACCGTAAAACATCCATACTATCCCAAAATAATGGTTAATAGCTCTAAATGACTAATTAACTTTTTTTACAAAATGCAATGCGTCTCGCTTATTTAAACACCTATTGATGTAGAGAAATGAAAATTATCTATCAGATGATACCAAATATATATGGGTGTGTTAAAAAGTTACCTACTATATTAAAAAAAAAAAGTAGAAAATATGTTAAAATAATTCAAATTTACAGGATAAATTCTTTACTTTTATTGATTAATCAGATTCTTAGTTTAGTTTTGCGTGGAAACATTGCCCACCATGGGTGGGGCTTACCTTTTATATATTGTTTGAAGTGTGTGCGAACTCTCAAGGGAATCATTGCTTCTTCAAAAGCTATAGCAGCTCCAGGTCTGTAGAGAGAATTATAGGCAGCTTTGACAACAGTGATCACTGGTCTAATTTTGTAGAGTGGATCTTTCGGAATAAAACATTTGCTGTCCGCCAGATGGAAGTATCTCGAAAATTTATTAAAATGACATCATCCACACAAGGAACTTTTAGTTAAGGATCTTTAGACCAGTGCATTCTGTATGGGGCTCATTTGTACACACCAGATATCATATTTTTGTAGATGATGGTTTAAATGTCAGTGACGGGGCGGGGGGGCTAAAACTGATCATCTATATTATGATTTTCAATGCTAGGCCCAACTCCCAATGTAAACATGTAAATTTCCACTGGATTTAGAATAACACTCTAGGGAAAAGACTTGGTTGTTGTAGTTTCACTGTCACTATCATCACATACAGAGCCATTTTCAGAGCTCTCATTTTCAATTCTACAATTGTTAAAACTTTCATCAGAGGTTTCTCCTAATCCATTTTCAATATCACTTGCATTTTAATTGTTATCACTTTCATTGTTTCAAATATGTGACATTGAAAGTTTAACCAAAATTTATAAGTACCTAAATACAGTGATTTCAAAAATATGTAGCTTGTTTGTTATTCAATATATCATGTTTCTGTAAAAAAGGAAGTCGAACTTTTATACTTTCGAACTATAGCTTTTTTTAACAATTAAAACAAAATTTTATGGTCCAAAACAATATTCATTTGCGTATAAAGTAGACGATGGCAGCTACAGGAGGCGATACAGTATTAAGTGATAGTGGGGGATACAGGAAGCTATTGGTTAAATAACTAGCTGGCAGATTCCATTATCCAAATCTGGTCACTTTTATATACAGTACATCTAGCTTTTACCTGGAATTAGCGCAGATCGAAATTGTTTTTAAAAATTTTCTCCATGCCCATTGCACAGGATAATAATTAATTCATAAAAAGACGGATTTTGGGGTAACTAGCATTTTGGTTTCAAATCTGTTTGTGTTACTCATACTATGCCAAAATAAATTATACAAATTTTAGGTGTTCACAAAGCATAAGTATAAAAATTAATCGGCCACAGAAAAAGATTGGTGATTCCTGCAATGCAAATAGCATGTGATAATATTATTTTAAAAAGTAAGGGGGAAGTTTGTATAGCGGATGTTTCTGATATTCTGCATTCAAGAAACAGCCTTTCTAGCATTTATTGTTGTTTTTGTTGAAAATATAATAGAAAGAAAACTCTCCTTTGTGTGGGAATATTTGGGATGTTAAATCAATTATTCAATGGCCAGTAAAGTATATGAAGACCTCAAGGGAAAAAGCGTCAGAGTCCATTTTTAATTTTTTTGAGATATCACCCTTGACTAATAGTCAGTTAAAAATAGAAGGTGCTGAATTAAGTTTAAAGGAGAAAAAATGGCTAAGTCCATATGAAAAATGGAGGAGCATAGTCCAATGTTTACAATGTTTACATTTGAAGTCACATGATTTAAAGGTCCAATGAGAGATAGCTCTAGTGTAAACAAAATTTAAAGATGGCGACCGATTCGCTCAGCTGACCGACAAACCGAGGAAAACGTTAACTGACAGACCTGATTTTTTAAAATTTCCTACCACAAGAACACAAAACAAATTAACATAAGCACGTTTAATTGGACTTAAAACATTAAAATAATAAAATTTGTATTTTTAAATCAGATTTTACCCTTGTTTTGTTAAATTCAGTTAATTAATGTGTGTGTTTGTCTCGTCTCTTTCGCTATCGCTCTAGACTAGTAGTGACTAAGAGTCTAGTCTATCACTGTTTGTTGCATGTCTGTGTCTCTCCCTGTCAGCCTATCTCAGTTAGTTTGTATGTCGCTCTCCGGGTCACTTTAACTCTGTGCCTGACTCCCCGTGAACTCTCTATCTTCGAGTGTCTGTCTTGCTATCTCTGTCTGTTACTCTACGGATTTTACTCATACAGTTACAGCTACTGCTAGAGAAAAAAACAACTAATTTTGGGCCAAAATTGTAAGAAGCACATCAGAAACTCAGAAAGTATGATTTTAAATCTGATTTTCGGGTTTAATTCTTTAATAATATATTTTTTAATGATAGTTATAGGCATGATCCATATTCTTATTTTTATAGTGTCAACAAAAATGACTTGCCTAAGGCAGGGGTCATTCGTAAATTACGTCACGCTAAAAATGATCTTTTTAAACACCCCCTCCATATGCTTGTTCATTTCCCTTACTATCCCTGTCCTTGCCCCCTACTATCATTGTTCAATTCCCCTACTATCACCTAAAAAATTAAAAACATACATACAATTTTCATAACTAAATTAAGAAATTATTTTATTCATTTTCCCATAATGCAGCGGTTCTAAACCTGTGAGTCGCGACCCCTTTAGTTGGTCAAATGACTCTTTTAAAGGGGCCACCTAAGACAATCGGCAATTGCATATCCTCTACAGTTATGAAGTACCGACGAAAATCGTTTTATGGTTGGGGGTCGCCACAACATGAAGTACTGCATTAAAGGGTCGGGGCAACAGGAAGGTTGGGAACCACTGCCATAATGATTTAGATGTAGTATTATTAGAAAACTGAGTTTCATGGTACTTATATTATAATACCTGAGGCAATTTTGACATCAAATTAATGTTTTAAAAATAATTAAATTATTTTTTTTTTCAGAATATTTTTGACCCCCCCCCCTTCCCCCTGTCACAAAGTGTGGCATATTCTCGACCCACCCCCTCTGAGCGTGGCGTAATTTGCCATTGACCCCCAAATGTGAATATTTACTTATAAAATAGTTTTAAATAGATATTTATCAATAATCAAACCTTGATAAATTACTACAAGGGAAAAAACGGCAGTCCATTTTGACCTCCCTCTCTACTATAATGAAATAAATCATGTTACATTCAAGTTTGAACTACTTTATCTATATAATAACTCAGGGAAATGGACACTCTTGTGAAATGCATTTTAAAAATTACATTTTGTTTACACATTTTTGATGTGCATGGTTTTGAACTTTAAAAATGGAATATCTCAAAACAACAAAAATGTGACCCTGCCGTTTTTTCCCTTGTGGTCTTCATATTGATTAGTGTTTCTAGACCAATTTTGAAACCATAGGTATGATAAATATAGCTTAAGAAATGTGAGATTGTTAACCAACAGTTTGTAAATAATTATAACGTACGGACTACCTAAAGCCCAGTATAGTTATACAGTTATAAACTGATGTCAAAAGATTTGTAAAAGCACCAGATTTTCAATGTTTTCAATAAATCGGATTTATTCCTCTCTGACCTATTTAAAATATCCTAACTTTAGTAACAATTCTCTCATTAATAACGGAAAACTAAATATATTCTTTCCAGATAATCTGTGTGTTATGTTTGGAATCACTTTGGTGTGCTTAATTTCAACAATAGCCCTTGTTTATGGAGTGGCCAGAGTAAGTTCATACATTTATTACTGTGTTTTTAATGACATGTGATATACTTACACCAAGGAAGATATAAATAGTTCTTTAACTTCCACATTTTTTAAATTAGTTCAATGAATTTCTTTTCTTTAGAATGTGCTCTTAAACTACCAAGAATTGTTTACCAATTGCCAGGACATGGTGGTTGGTGGGGGGGGGGGGGTAACAATTATTGAAACTGTTAACATTTCTTTTGAAAAGTGGGAAAATTGGGAAGAGAAAAAAAACTTCAAATAAAAACATTTTTTAAATTAGTTCCATGAATTTCTTTTCTTTAGAATGTGCTCTTAAACTACCAAGGATTGTTTACCAATTGCCAGGACATGGTGGTTGGTGGGGGGGGGGGGGTAACAATTATTGAAACTGTTAACATTTCCTTTGAAAAGTGGGTAAATTGGGAAGAGAAACAAAACTTCAAATAAAAGTGTATAAAAATATTAGAATTAAACAAAGACCCATTTTACAAATAATGTATCGTAAAGCTAAATATTTTAAATGCATTTTTTCACCCTTTCCCATCTGTACCTGCACAGAATTTGGCCAGCTATCTGATGCCCTTTTTCTGTCTTCAAGTTTTTGACTTCTGCCTCAGTTGTCTCACTGTGGTTGGCTGCTTCACCTATGCTCCTAATATCAAACAGTGGATTCATGACCAAGGATTGGTAAATATCTTGAGGCTTGTTCTGGTATTCACCATGAATAAAGACAGTTATTTTATTCAAGCATTGTTTTTTTTCTTGCTGAGCTTTCAAATAGAGTTTTAATATGTAATTTTGAAAATACCTTTGTACGTTCTGTATGTTTAACACATGCATAAATTATGTATTGAAGACTGGAACAAAATTGCATTTAAAACTTTGGACTAAAGCTTATGAGGATTCTAATTGAAATATGTTGTTATGATCCAGGTTTTGGAATTTTAAATTTCTTGATTTGATTTTATTTGATTTCTTTATTCTCACAAATATCCCTATCTTACATATGATTTCCCTTACCAATGACAGGAAAACTTCCCTCTGATGAACAATCTCATGTGCTTGGACTCGGATTATTTGATGTTGCTCTTTGTTACGTGTCTTATCCTTGTCCTCTCCATTAAGGTAAGCACTCTGCTTTTTACATTATGATTAAATGCCATATATTGCCAATTGTTAAAAAGAAAAAAAAAACAGTTTATCTAAATGACATATTAGAAATCTAAATTGATGATTTGCACAAAACAAGAGCATGGTTGATCAGAGGATATATACACAATTTCTGTTAAATGAGCAACATGTGGAAGTAGCATATTTTGTTAAATTTGTATTTTAAATTATAAATATTGTAGTCATGCTGAGTTTTTTAAAATTGTGTTTGCTGAGAAGACAACTTTTTGGGGACTAAGTGTCTTAGTCCTAGAGTTTCCAAATAAATCAGAAACGACTATTTGATGTAGAATTTTAATAGGCTAAACATATGAAAATCACCATTGTTACATTAAGAAATGGCGTCAGCAGGGCGAGTCTAGACTCTTATGCCCCTCCCCGGTCCGACGTATCGGGCCGCGGAGCGGCACGTTGGAGATGCCCACTCGTCAGGACGGCCCCCCACACGGGCCCCTCACCCAAGTCCCCCTCCTGGGCGCTCGACCAGGACCCCGCCTGGGGGCCGCCCCAACCAGCAGGCACCCGGTCGACCCGACACTATGCGTTTAAATAGTGCACTCGGTCGACTTTCTCAGGAGTCGGGATGGAAAAATTTACGTCCTAATATCTTCCCCCATCCATCCCGGGAAAGCGTCGGACGCCCTATAAGAGGGATTCCACAGTGGGTTTCCACAATGCGACTAGTTCACGCTGTAGCTGGGACGAAACGGTTGCCTAGGGGCAGCGTTCTCACGGCTGCATTATTTGAATCCTCGGCCAGAGGTTACCACCCTCGCCTCTGGCCTCATACCCGTTAACGGCAACTTGTAATCATGATCCCTACCCTGGCTCTGCCTAGCTTTCCGACTGTGAAATATCACAACCGGCAGCCCTGTGGGAGCTGTCTTATGTACGGCAGGTACCGAGCACACCCTTTGTCTGCCCACGCGGGGCGTGCCCAGTAGTTATGTTTCCCGGTACACGCCAAGGGGGTCGGTGGCTGACGCTTCCTAATCGGCAAGCCACAGCAGACTTGTCAACCGGAACCCGGGACAGAAAAATCACCATTAAACGCTGCTATGTTTCTTTGTCTCACATATCACATTTGTATTATAGGCTTACCTCATTGGCATGGTATGGTCGTGCTACAAGTACATCCAGATGCATGTTGCTTCACGCAGCATGGTTAGAGAATACTCTGTAGATCCTGACACCGAGGTATTTGTTTACTTTAGGGGAGAAAATAGTTATTTATTTTGTTGATTCAAGCTCTGAAAATTTTCCTTTCCGAATTTTCACATCTTATTTTAGGGTACTTAAGTAAGTATGGCTTTGGGTATAAGGAGTAAAGATAGCTGCAATCAAGTGGTTTTAATCTGATATTGTTGTACCGACCCTATGATTGAATCTGGCTGATAATTCGATTAATACTTTATTTATGTTAAATATTTAAAAATTGTCATGAGGGCTTTGTCATTCTAAAGAAAATAATTATTTCATGTTTCGCTGTCATTTGACAAAAATATCCACTCATCTCACCCATTTGAATCAAGTCACCTTTAAATCTTCTCCTCAGATGCTGCTCCCACCCCGCTATGAAGATGCCATCAAGGTCCCAAGTAACTATCCTCCACCCCCAGCTTACAACCCTCAGTAAATTTGGCTACTGCATCACTTGGCTCTTGAACAGTTAAATGAGGATTAGAGAAAATACAACATTGGCTTGTTTTAGAAGTATTTTTTCCTCAGAAGCAAAGTGATTTTTTTTTTCCTTAAAAATTATTACAATAAAGCCTAAATGATTCTGCTTGAATAAAATCGGAAATACCCGTAAATGACAGCTTCTTTGAATATATTATGTTGTGTTGTAACTAATTGTGTAAATAAAAGTGTTGGACTTTGGGGTTAGGAATTTTGGAAGGCTTTTTCTGCTCTTTATCTATGGATCTATACATTGATTAAGAAACTTGGAGTCTAAAATAGAAAAAACTAGCAAGGTAATATAAAGCATTCAACTGTTTATAAAGGAGTTGCAAAGTTTTTTTCCCATTAGGGTACTTAACTACAATGAAAACTTAATAGCAATCTCTGCTTTCAATTTATTATTGCAAGAACTAGTAAGAACTTGATAACTGCCGTCAAGTACTTTATACAGGGAAAGAGTTTTAATAACTCGGATTGCTCTGCTATTTACCAAAGTTTTACATTTGAAATTCTGAACCCTTTGTGAATAAAGGATAAAACTTTAATGATGGATCCATAGTTGTCTACAATTCTAATTCAATCTTTATTTTGAATTTATATAATTGGCTTTATACAATTACAAAAAGGATTTTGACACAGTCTGTTCTTTTTAATGTTTGTTTTGTATTATGTTAATTGTTGCTACATGCCAGGGTGGGTATTTTCCTTTTCAATAATATTAAAATGACATAGTTGCAAGTCTTGTATGTGTATAATCAGTGTTATGTCAATTTTATGTATATAATGTCCAAGTAAATTGATAACTAATAATTTTTTATTTGTATTATATAATGTCTGACTTGACATAAATAAGTTTGAAAACAAGACTATATTACTTGCCAGGAAACGTTATCATGTGTTGTAAGACACAGGTATTGTATACTCCAATACTTTTTTTTGTGTGGTTATATGGAGTTGTCGAGACAGTTCTTTTATTATTTTGCTATTTTAAAAAATGAAACTGTACTGGAAGGAGACACTTCTATATTTTGGGGATGAAGTTAGATTTTATACAAGTTTCCCTTTGGAAAATTATTAGTTAATTAAATACTTTCATTTGATTTCTTTCTTTTTGATGTCAAATTTTCGTTTTTCCAAAATAGAAACTTTCAATGAGCCTTTGTAATCTCTTTTCTCAATGTGATTAATCTTGTTGTCCTGGACATGTTATTATGAGATACAGCTGTCAAAAGATGTATTTACACATGTCATGTTCACGTAATTGTAGAATGACTTGTGAAAAATCTTTGGATTCAATTTGAAATGATCATTTCACAACCACCTCCTTGAGTTTGGCATTCTGAAATCTCATGCAAACAAATAGATAAGAAGTCTTTCAAAATAAATTTAAGGAGATGATGGAAATAAGGCCATCTTTTTTTGTGTAACTGTAAATTGATCTTTTCTTGATGATGTCAAAATGAAAGACAGTGAGAAATCCTCCAACCTCTGAAAAATAAAAACATTGAAAATGTAGAGCTGTGATTTGTTTTTGTTTATATTTCATTCTCTTTACTTTCTGTAACACATGTATCCCTTTGCTTCTGTAAAAATTGCCTGAATGACACATTTAAATAAGAAGTATTGACATAGTTAAGACTGATTTGATTATAAAAGTAAATGCTAACAGGGCATCAACAACAGATGTCACTCCTCTGATTATTTTTGTGTGGATATTAAATGCAGAGACAAGATCAAATTTAATATATAAAAAAATCTTTACTCTTCTTTTTTTAGCACAAACAAAATTTGCCTTGAAGGCTAGAGTCCATTAAACAACTAAGTTAGAGAAATGTCATTTGAAAATAGCCTCATTAAAAAAAAAAAGCTAAGACATTTCCAGATATTTTCTTTTTGAATTTTGATTGACTCCCAAACTTGATTTATTAATAAAGTGTATTGTAAATCCCATAGCTTGCCTTCACCCACGTATGTAAACATAGTTTGTTTACCTGCTGTCACTTTATCCATGCGTTGTAATCTAGTATCTAGCACTATTTTATAGACCTATGTCTGAAATTCCTCCTGTGATGCAATATTTCATAAATGTCGTTTTTACAACTTTTTGAATTTTTTGGGGTGATATTATTAACTTCTTTAATTTAAAAGATCTATTTAAAATAATGTCTGGTTCAGGGAAAGCTTTTGATGAAAGATTTTCAAAATGTCTTGAGCCTGTTAACGACTTTGATATCAAAATTGTATTGCTCTGGACTTTTAAAACAACATATAAATCACACATGAAATGTTATTCAAACGTAATATCTAAAAATCAATTGCATTATATCCCAGAACACTTTTGGCTGTCATATATAAATTAATCATATTTCTTTCTTCACTTTTTTTATCATGTCAACCGTTGCCATATTGAAGATTTCATTGTAAAACCAATGGACATATTTTTTTCTACATTAGTGACATTTCTAAAAGTCATAAGCAAGCAGACCTGGGCTGTCACCTTTTTTTAGCCTTTTGTCAAAAAACTAACATCTTGGAAAATGAGGGAGCTTAGTCCATGTTTCTCAAATAATAAACTAAATGGAAATGTAATGAAATCAATTATAGTAGTCCTTGGTAGTTTTCATCTTTGCCAATAACTCAGCAGCAACATGACCACAAGATAACAGGTACTCACTTTAGACTATGTTGGTCAACTCTGAAAACTGAACTGAGTTTTTTAGATATATCGTTATTGTAAAAAGTCTCCCAGGTCATTTTCAATATATTACTTGTTCTATACTAGATTTAATTTTGTAATACAACCGAGGGGGAAAAAATAATTTTTCATAAAATGTACATTTCAATTTTTTAAAAATAATTTATGTTCTCAATGCAAATTTATATTATAATTTTAAAATATAGAATTGCATATTAATTTAAATCCATGTTAACTTATGTGGTATACGGTAATAAAATTCTTGATTTTGTATGCGGTGTTATTTTAAGTGTGTGTTCTGTGGTGGATTGGATTGATGTTTTGTGGGCATCTGAGTTTGATAACTGATGGAGAAATTATTTATCCTTTCCTTCCTTTTACTTTTGAGTAAGGTTTATCAATAAATGCAGGCTCACCCTTGGCAAGAGATGTCTTCACAATAAATGCAGGCTTATCCTTGGCAAGAGATGTCTTCACAATTAATGCAGGCTCATCCTTGGCAAGAGATGTCTTCACAATAAATGCAGGCTCATCCTTGGCAAGACATGTCTTCACAATAAATGCAGGCTCATCCTTGGCAAAAGATGTCTTCACAATAAATGCAGGCTCATCCTTGGCAAGAGATGTCTAAAAAAATGGTAACATCTGCACAATGGTTATATGAATTGTCTCTATTAGTTCTAAAAAAATTCTAGCAACATGTTTACAGAACTGATGGCATAAAAGGCAGCGGCAATTTACGTTGTAGTGATGGTAAGCTTTTTGCTTAAATCTCACCTGCATGCTGGTTTTTAGAAAATGACAATTGAGACGAGTACATCTCATCTAACTTTGCCTTCATTTACTACAAATGAAATTTTGCTTAAAAATTGAGTGTCTGATATATGGTGATTATCAACATTCAAGAGCCTCCCCAATTCTCAAAATCAAGTCACTGCAATTTTCTAAGAGTCCTCACAGAGAGATCTCCTTTCATAGTTACAATTTCAATTGACTGCAATTGACTGGTATTATTGGCACAAAATTAAATGAAGAGATACGTTGATTAAAGTAGTGAAATATATGTTGCAACTATTCAACTATGTTGACATGTATATTTTTAATTCATAAACACTGTATTTAAACCGAAACAAACACAAAACACACATACCCTCACCTATTTTCTTTTTTTTTNAAATTATATTTTATGTATTCCGCTCTAACCGATCTAGGTCCTTTTAGGATGTGATGAAGCAGAGGGTTACAAGTGATTTCCCCTTTCAATTGGGTGACTTCCCTTCGTTTGAGTGACATCCGCTATTTCTTATCTGTAAAAATAAACACAAAGGCCTATGCCCACGCCCACTTCCCAATAAAGAAAATGTTTTTGTTTCTTCTAGTGATACAGGAACACAAAAATTGTTTTTGAAACGTTTTATTTTCAAACATTTTTGTTTAAATAGGGCAATTCATCTCCAAATATAAACCAATAACTTGTATAAGAGCAACAAAACTACAAGTACAAGGCAATTATTTCAATGAATAACCAAGTGGGGGAAGGAATTAGACATTCTGATGGCATAGTTTTTTTTTTTGTTTTTTTACTGCTAGCACAACTTTAGTTTACTATTAACACAACTTTAGTTTACTGTTTGCACAATTTTAGTTTACATGTGTGAAAATATAGCTTTGCCCTGGGATAGGGAGGTGGAGTGCAACAAAATCAACATATAATGGCATCATTATGTATGGGATGTGTAAAAAAACCATATGAAATGTATTATCATTGAGTGATTTAATGGTAAACATGCTTTGAAATATATTTTTTATAAATGAAAAAAAACCAAAAGAATCAAGGCAAAGATAGCATAGGGAAATCATTCATGCACAGCATACTATTTGTTTTACACATAATAGACGCGATTAACATTTAAATAGTAATTACAGTAAGATATCTACTATTACTTTGATACAGCACATGTGGCATGTTTGACAAGCAAGGAATACAACATCATAATAATAATAATACTAAAACAAGTATAATCCAGATGAGAGAAAAAGATTTATTGAAGAAAAAAAATTAATTAACAATTGGATTTGGGGGGTGGGGTGGTATTGATAATGTTATTATAAATTATAGAATTATTGAGTCAAAACTAAAGAAGAAATATACATAATTCCAACGCTTTTTTTCCCTCTTTATTTTCAAGTCTATAAGGAATCTTTTTTTATATATACTTTATACTTATTTATATACTTTCCCATTTCAAATGTTAAGTTTTTAATTAAAAAATATATTTGATGTTACAAGATAAAATAATGATGACATTTGTAGGAAACACATAATGTGCTTACAAGCCAAACAACATCTGTAGGAAACACATGTGCTTACAAGCCGTACAAACTAACGACACCTGAACAATAGAAGAGTTCCTTGTGCCACAACTGAAGCTCATATAGAGTTCGTAGTTGTGGATCGCAACCATGTGATGGGAGTTGGGGAGGTGTTAGGTGTTGGATAAATCAACTTGTATTTGTATGAAATCAATTAGTTTTTTTTAAAAATAATGGCATGACAAGTTAGGCGGTTAAAGGCGGCACTCACATCTCTTTATATATATATATATACAAATTTTTGAACAACACTCTGGTAATTTATTGAAGTTTGTACAGTTATAAAACAATAAACATATTAGAGATGAAATTAAACCTTTTGCTATGAGAAACAAAGACATATAAAACAGGATTATGAGGAACCATCTACTGTGAATGTTTCTTTTGGAGCTTTTAAAGTATTTTTTTAAAATATAGGGCCTACATTTCACTGAAAACTATGAATGTGTTAAACTATGATTATGTTAAACTATACTACGACTAATTTTAACTAAGACTATGTACGTCTTTCATCATGACGCAAGTTATTAAAAATGACAGAGCATAAAATTTAATCCATAATAAATATTTTTTTATCTGAATCCTTTGAAACAAGCCCCTTTCTGTAACGTTTGCCGTAATTATTTCTTTTTTTTATGTAAAAAAAATCAACAAAAAACAACAGCAACATATTTTGTAACTCTCATCTGCCACATCAGCCCACAAACATCAATCAAAGCATCGTCTTCTGGGTCAGAGCAGAAATCAATAGTGACGTTTCATCACGATGGTCAGGATCACCGCGACCTTTGGCCTTATAATAAACTAGATCCGGGGCATCTCCTAGCGATAGATCAACACACGAGCCCCCAATACTGCTGTCGTGAGACCGTCTGCCGTCATCCGACGGGGAGTCGGACTCGTAGAGGGGTACAACTTGTCTGTACTCCACGGAAGAAACGCTGACATCCGTTATGCACGATACACCAGGACTTGCCTCTTGACAAGGGCCAAACTCTTGGGAGGCGCATGCGCCTCGAGCTGACGCTGAGTTGCTTCCGGTATAATGTTCACAGTTACCGTGCGTAGAAATGTGTTGATCTGTAACCATATCTGAAGGAACGGCTAACTTATTACCCTTACAGTAATAAAATGGGTTCTCCTCTGTAGACATGAAATACTGGAAGTTTGAGCCGTAGGGCTGTCGCTCCAAATTCAAATGTTCAGAACTTCCACACTGTTGACTGCCACGTTGTTCACGTTGAAATGACCGAGGTTTGTTTATGTTTAGTATGGACGGAGTGTTGAAGTGGCTCAACTCAGGCGTGACTAGACTCGGGGTGTCGAAAAAGTTTGTTGAAACTTGTTGCTTTGTTTCATTCGAGTAATTGGCAACCATTACTTCCGGTGTGTGCAGACGTGACCTGCTTTCAAACACGGCGTCTTGGTCACATTCAATAACCGGAGCCTGTCTGAAATAAGGAGGGCGACGCCTTTGATAATCAGACTCTGAAAAGTCACTAGCGTTAGACAAGTCGGACAACTCGCTACAGACTGACGTCTGTCTACTCTCCTGTCTTGTAAAACTATTAAAATGACGTATGTAGGTGCTCCCCACCTCTTCAAAGATTTCACAACCGTCTGTAACATCGTTTTGATATTCGCAAGTACGGTATCCGGTACTTGAGGGATATAGCGTCGAGCTGCATTCGTTGCGGTATTTAGCGTCAAGTGCTAATCCGTATTCCAAAACTGTTGCCGTGTCCGGTGTTTCTGCAGACCGGACGAGTTCAGGCGATGAAAGGTTCGCGAGTTCAGGCGATGAAAGGTTCGCTTCTGAAGACGAGCTTTCAAACTCTTCTTTCACAGTTTTCTGTGAAGCTTGGCGATCTCTCTCATGATATGAGGTCGGCGATTCAGAATTGGGGCTTGCATAAAGCCCGCCACCAGCACTGGGATAGAGATGCCCACCATAAGCACTGGGATAGAGATGCCCACCATCAGAGCTGGGATAGAGATGCCCGCCATCAGAGCTGGGATAGAGATGCCCACCATCAGAGCTGGGGTATAGATCGGCGTTGAAAGTTTTTTCCAGGAATTGATCGAGTTCGTAGATATCTGCGCAGGTCAGCGCTTCTGCTTGTGAGGCTGATCTGTTGTCTAGTTTATCAGAATAAGTTTCTGCAGGATCAAAACTAAAACCGTTGTGATTTTGCCTAACATCGTCGAATGAATCTGTCATTTTGGAGTCTTCGGGTCTTGAAGTCTTTGTTTCTTTGGGTCCACTCTCCAGAAATGAATCTCTGGAGCCAAACATTTGGAATGATTCATTTTTAGTTTGCAAAGTCTGACCCGACATTTCATAAGAGAACTCCTCCTGCCGAAAGGTCGTCGTGAGGAGGGCCGAAGACTCGGTTCGATGAAAAGACTGATGTCTGTCATATTCAGGCGGTGATCTTGTTGAATTCATCCCATTCGTGCTGTTCAAAGAAGAATTGGAGGCGGTTCCGTCACCGACCTCAGCGGATATTCTACGGAGAAGGTTGGAGTAAGAAGCGCTTTTGGCGTTAAAGAAAGTCTGGTTTCCACCAAACTCCATGTTTTCAGGCACCCCAGACATGCGCACAAAGTGAGGCTTGCCTGTATAGAAGCCGATAAAGTCTCTCGTTCTGCTCTGAGCCGCACCGTGTTGACTGAACGGCCCGAACTCGAGTTGCAGCGTGGACTCAATATTTTCACCGGGATATGCCGAGCACCGCCCTTGACCCTGAGCATCTGACATCATCGACAGAGGGGCCGACTGTTTAACGAAAGATGCCGATATTGTCTCCGGCGAGGACAGTTCACTCCGTGACGTAGAATCCGGTGGGCTCGGAGTGGGTGAGTCACCGCCTCTGACGCCACTTCTTTTGGTCAGTTTCCTCCGCCTTGGCCTGTACTTGTAGTCCGGATAATCTTGTGTGTGCTGCACCCGGATTCTCTCCGCCTCGTCCACGAACGGCTGCTTCTGATCTGGTCTCAAACTTTTCCACCTCTTTCCTGTGGATGATAACATATCAACACATCATTAAAACTAGATTATAAATATTTTATTTGTCTGATTTATTTATCTGTCTTATTTATGTTTGATCTTGTTCGCGACCATAGTTTCAGCTGCTTCATATATACCCTTTTTTAAAAAAAATTGCCTAATGTTATTTTTAAACTTATCCAGAGTTGTAGCTAAAAATAATGACCTTGGAAATTGAACTAAGCAAGGTCATCGTACTTATTATATTTCTGTGGAAAAAAAACCTTTTTAAATATTAAGTTTTCTTTCATTCTGCATTTACCCTTCCGATCTGAATGTAATCAATATTTCAGATGGCGATTGATGAAAGTTGTACATGAATTGTGTACATAAAAGTTGTATATGAAAGTTGTACATGAAAGTTGTACGTGAAATTTGTATATGAAAGTTGTTTTTGAAAGTTGTTCATGAAAGTTGTACGTGAAAGTTCTATATGAAAGGTGTATATGACAGTTGTAAATGAAAGTTGTACTTGAAATTTGTATATGAAATTTGTACATGAAATTTGTGCATGAAAGTTGTACATGAAATTTCTACATGAAAGTTGTACATGAAAGTTGGAAATTCAGAAATTAAACAGAAAACCCCACACCTATTGAAGTTCTTAAATAATATTTTCTTGATTGTTAAATTTTAATAATAATAATAATAATAATAATAATAATAATAATAATTCAACGTTTTTCGTGTGGTTTTTCAAGAAAATAAATAAAAATGTCATTTTGATTGTAAAGATTCGAATGTATTTGATCCAAGTTATCTTCTGCTATTTAAAAATTATAACAGGAAATCCAAGGGGGATAACACGCACGATTAAAAAATAAAAAATATAAATACATACGTTTATTAATATGATGACTTTTTATAAATATTTAGATTTGGGGGAGGGGGGTCATGGAAAATGTCCTCTCATTATACTCAGAGGAAATTCATCCCTCTATCTTGTACATCCTTTGATCACAATGAATAATATTTAAAGATATAAAAAAAACACGAATAATATTTTCCATTTGTCTGATTTGGCATCAGGATTTAAGTGTTCACGTCACGGACCATTCTATCAAAACTACACGTGACTGAATACCTAACCTCCTTGAACCATTATGTGTGATAAATGTTCCACTCGGACCGATGTGCCTTGTGGGGGCAAGTTGGTAAAATGGCAGATAATAGTTCTTTGCCAAAAACCTACTTTTATAACACAAAGTGTCAAGAGGCAAAAAGGGGTGGGGAAAGTGGGAGTTTTTTTAAAGTATTCTTTTATTTGTATTTATTTGTAAAGTCATCCACAATTGGTGTTGTAAAGTCATCCACAATTGGTGTTGTAAAGTCCACAATTGGTGTTGTAAAGTCATCCACAATTGGTGTTATAAAGTCATCCACAATTGGTGTTGTAAAGTCATCCACAATTGGTGTCCTCCCAGAACGCTACGTCAATTTTAATGTCTTTTTGTTGCTGAGTAAATAGAGATGTACTTTATGATTTTAATACGAGAAGGCTTCCAGTAAAAATGGACTACATCCTTACAAGACTTTCTGCTGCTAGGCATTTTAAGTAATCTCCTTTAAAAAAAAAAACAACAAAACACTGCACGCCCCCCCCCCCCGCAGACATGGCCAATCACTGCATGGTCTACAGACATGGCCAACTACTGCATGTTCCACATGTATCACCAACTTCTACATCCTCTACAGACATGGCCAACCACTACATCCTCTACAGACATGGCTAACCACTGCATGCTCTACAGACATGGCCAACCTTTGTACATACAGCTATACATCCCTGCAGCCTTACAGCTATACATCCCTGCAGCCATACAGCTATACATCCTATCTTCCATGCTCTCAGCTTTGTGCCTTTGAAATGTGAACACCAGCAATAGTTGATAAAATGATTTTAGAACCAATAGTTTGCGACTTTTCAGATTACGCAATCAATCAATTTAATGTTAGATCAACAATGCAACAATTCAATGTTAGATCAACAATGCAACAATTCAATGTTAGATCAACAATGCAACAATACAATATTAGATCAACAATGCAACAATTCAATATTAGATCAACAATGCAACAATTCAATATTATATCAACAATGCAACAATTCAATGTTAGATCAACAATGTAACAATTCAATGTTAGATCAACAATGCAACAATTCCATGTTAGATCAACAATGCAACAATTCAATGTTAGATCAACAATGCAACAATTCAATGTTAGATCAACAATGCAACAATTCAATGTTAGATCAACAATGTAACAATTACATGGTAGATCAACAATGCAACAGTTCCATGTTAGATCAACAATGCAACAATTCAATGTTCGATCAACAATGCAACAATTCAATGTTAGATCAACAATGCAACAATTAAATTTTAGATCAACAATGCAACAATTCAATTTTAGATCAACAATGCACAATTCAATTTTAGATCAACAATGCAACAATTCAATGTTAGATCAACAATTCAATGTTAGATCAACAATGCAACAATTCAATGTTAGATCAACAATGCAACAATTCAATGTCAGATCAACAATGCAACAATTCAATTTTAGATCAACAATGCACAATTCAATTTTAGATCAACAATGCAACAATTCAATGTTAGATCAACAATTCAATGTTAGATCAACAATGCAACAATTCAATGTTAGATCAACAATGCAACAATTCAATGTCAGATCAACAATGCAACAATTCAATGTTAAATCAATAATGCAACAATTCAATGTTAGATCAACAATGCGCGCACGCCACTAGTTTTTTTGTTGGAAGAATTGAAACAACAAACGTTAATTAATAATTAATATGTTTTGACAACTCATTATGCCTAGCCATAAAATGTTTTGGAGTTGTTTGGTAGTTGTATCAAAGACCTTTTCATTCTTTGTTGTATGAACAAAAAAGATGTTGTGATTGCTACGCACTGCCTTCTATTGTGAGAAATGAATCTCCTATTTTAAATTTATGGCTAGTTCAAACAGTGCCCAACAAAGGACGATACCATAGATAAATACAATAATAAAGATACGACACGCAAAATCAGTTGCCAATCACAATTAATAAGATTCAATTTAGTAATTAATACAATTACAAAACAAAAGAAATATCATTACAAATCATCAACTTACAGTATAGTAGATTTTGTACCGGTACACAGTCAACATAGTTAGTTCAATGTGCCAATGAATAATGATGAATGATCAATGCGAATAAACACATAAGTACACAAAGAATAATATACGTCTCGTGAAGGTAAAATATCTATCAATCTCCGTTCCTCTGTACCTGTCAATCCCCTAGATATTCGGGTCTACCGACGCGTCTAGAAAATCCCTCAGTTTTCTAACACAATCGAGAACCTTTGACAAGATACTAGTAGACATACTAACCATGTTTAAATGGAAGCTGGTAGTAAACAAGATACATCAAAGAGATTTAACCACGCCCACAGCAAACGTTACTGTCTGCTAGGAGTCTAATGCGAGGTCAAAGAAAGTTCACGCACGGGGAAAAAGTGTTGTAAACAAGCTCTACATAACAGTGACGTATATCCTGGATACTTATTTGACAACGATCAAATTAGCATTTATTTTATCCTTTAAACATCTCGGCGTGATTTTAATTCATAAAAATATTTCCTATATAATTCCACAGCGACCTCTTTGAGCGTCCTATCATCCCCTTAAAATCCCACAGTCCTTTCACTGCCCCATTGGGTGGTACCAGTGGCGTAGCTAGTGTTTGTGTCACCCGGTGCGGTAAACTCATGGTGTCAGCCCCCCCCCCCCCCCCCCCCCNCTGACCTAATTATAGGGTCACATCATTTCTGACCTAATTATAGGGTCACATCATTTCTGACCTAATTATAGGGTCACATCATTTCTGACCTAATTATAGGGTCACATCATTTCTGACCTAATTATAGGGTCACATCATTTCTGACCTAATTATAGGGTCACATCATTTCTGACCTAATTATAGGGTCACATCATTTCTGACCTAATTATAGGGTCACATCATTTCTGACCTAATTATAGGGTCACATCATTTCTGACCTAATTATAGGGTCACATCATTTCTGACCTAATTATAGGGTCACATCATTTCTGACCTAATTATAGGGTCACATCATTTCTGACCTAATTATAGGGTCACATCATTTCTGACCTAATTATAGGGTCACATCATTTCTGACCTAATTATAGGGTCACATCATTTCTGACCTAATTATAGGGTCACATCATTTCTGACCTATCAACCTTGAAATTTAATAAAGCACGCATTCGGATCGGTTACATGGCTTGGAAATCGTATTCGGAAATTTGTTTGAAAGAAAATTGATTGACGGAAGTTTGATCGAATGTTTTTTTCAGTTCACACGATCTACTTTTGTGTCAAATTTCTTTATGAACGCATTTTTTTGTTTTACTGTATAGTATAGTGTGTTCAAAAAGAAATTTGACAAACATTTGATCGTGTGGACTGAAAAAAAATTCGACCAAATTTCCGTTCAATCAAATTTCCGTCGATCAATTTTCCGTCGACAAAATTTCTTTCAAAGAAATTTCCGGTAACCGTTGAAAATTTACGTGTCATCGGTTATCCGTTTATGAAACTCGGTTTGGGCCCAGCGGCGTGTGTGGTCTGAACAATGCTAGTGTTTTTGTCACCCACTCAGATGATGTCACCCCTAAGATGGTGTCACCCACTGAGATGATGTCACCCACTGAGATGGTGTCACCCACTGAGATGATGTCACCCACTGAGATGATGTCACCCACTGAGATGGTGTCGCCCACTGAGATGGTGTCACCCACTGAGATGGTGTCACCCACTAAGATAGTGTCACCCACTGAGATGATGTCACCCCTAAGATGGTGTCACCCACTGAGATGATGTCACCCACTGAGATAGTGTCACCCCTAAGATGATGTCACCCACTGAGATGGTGTCACACACTGAGATGGTGTCACACACTTAGATGATGTTACCGACTGAGATGATGTCACCCCTAAGATGGTGTCACTCGGTGCGGTCTGCAACCCCCGTACCCCCTAGCTACGCCACTGAGTTACCACTGCACACTTTGAGAACCACCGATGTAGAGGCTCTATTTATCAGTCCATTAAAAAAGAAACAATAAACAGAAACAGCATATTTGTAGTGCATTCTTTAATCAAAGAGAATGACGACAATTACAAGGAAGCAAGCGCAGATCCTAACCGGCCATGCGTCATCCTAACCAGCCATGCATGTTTGCGTCTCATCGAAGTCGCCGTAAATGCCAAAGCTCGGTGTCGCCTTCAGTTATCTACCCCGCCAAAGTGTTGTGTTAGTTTCGACGTTGTTATGTCCCCTAACTTTCCCAGCATTCCAACGCGAGCTTGTTAACTGCTACTCTGATGAAGTGGGCTAATGTCGTTTTCTTTTGTTCCCTTCCTATTTAAAGTGAATTCCAATTTTAAATAACATAAAATGGGTGGTACTGTGGTCTTACACGTTCAAATCAAGAAGTTTAAATAACATAACATGGGTGGTACTGTGGTCTTACACGTTACAATCAAGAAGTTTAAATAACATAACATGGGTGGTACTGTGGTCTTACACGTTACAATCAAGAAGTTTAAATAACATAACATGGGTGGTACTGTGGTCTTACACGTTCAAATCAAGAAGTTTAAATAACATAACATGGGTGGTACTGTGGTCTTACACGTTCAAATCAAGAAGTTTAAATAACATAACATGGGTGGTACTGTGGTCTTACACGTTCAAATCAAGAATTTCGTAAAGATAGTTCTACCAAGTTTTAAACAAATTATTTTATTCTGTCTTGGGGCCTCTACCTCGTCTTAAGAATAACAGTACATGCTGAAATTAGCATAAGAATAACAGTGCATCCTGAAGTTATCATAAGAATAGCAGTACATGCCGAAGTTTTATAAGAATAACAGTACATACGAAGTTATTTAGATGATTATCGTATGGCTAACAAAATTAATTTTTATATCTTTTTTATGTTATAATCTTGAAGACAAAAAGGAAATTAAAATAAAGCAAAGGCGAACCTGAGCATTGTTCAAAGAAGGGAGATTACTCTGTAGTGAAAAATAGACAAAATTACCGTTCATTATGCAATCTACATATCCACCCCCACCCATTCCTAAACCAAAAAAAGAAAAAAAAAGAAAAAAAAAAATGACACAATCTCCCCCCCCCCACCCCCCCAATTTCATTTTTAGCCTCCAGGAAATAAGGTTTAGTGGATTATTGGTTTATCTTTGTAGTAAGTGAACAAAATAACTTCATAACATTAATATTGCACTGTTTCATACATCTAACAAATTTACCATTTGTCCTTCATACAACTAACATCTCTATCATTCCTTCTTCTCACTCTCCCCTTGTTACACACGTTTGGGGTAGGCCGATAAAGAAGGGACGTAAGAGAGAGTTTTGTGGTCCTGGTGGCATTGAGCATGCATGAACACACGCCCAAAGTAAATAGTTGTGCCACCATTAGCCTTTGTACCGCGCCTGCCACGACAAAGGTTAATGGACGTGCCCCGACTACACCTGATTTACGGCTTTCACTTCTGCTGTTTTCAGAGCGGATCAACCAGCAGTGTTGGGGGTAAGGGGGAGGTGGGTCAGTTTAAAAAAGGGGTGGGGCATTATTGACAAGGTGTGTGCTTTATTTAATATAGAAGTGGGTCATTAATGTGGAAGTGGGTAATTAATGTGGAAGTGGGTCATTAATGTGGAAGTGGGTCATTAGTGTGGAAGTGGGTAATTAATGTGGAAGTGGGTAATTAATGTGGAAGTGGGTCATTAATGTGGAAATGGGTCATTAATGTGGAAGTGGGTCATTAATGTGGAAGTGGGTAATTAATGTGGAAGTGGGTCATTAATGTGGAAGTGGGTCATTAATGTGGAAGTGGGTCATTAATGTTGAAGTGGGTCACTAGATATGAAGGGTGACTTAAGTGAAGAAAGGTATCGAAAGTGGAGGGGAGGAGGTGACGTCATTGATGCCTTAAAGTCTCCATTAATTAGAGGACATGCTTTATCTCAATATGGGCTAGGGTCACCGAGTGCTAGGGTTGGGCTTTCTTAAAGCAGGATATGTCTGGTCCCTGATTTATTTGTAATTTTTCTTCCCAATCATGAGTCTTGGCTATCACAAAAACATCCAATGATTCAGTCAAGACAATCATCGTGGAAGTCAAATACAATTTTTTCTCTTTCAACCGAAAATTAATTAAATAAATGTGACTCGTTTAAAAAAATATTTAAAAAATAAGTAATTTCTCATATTATCCATTTTCATTCAAATGTCAGCCTACTAATCTCATTTAATTTAAATTTAGCTATAACTATTGTATCCAGGACGTAGCTGATTCAATAACTTCAGATTGTTTTCTCATCTTAAAGGTAGATAGTTTCCTGATCTTAAAGACAGATAGTTTTCTTATCTTTAAGACCGATAGCTCGCTCATCTTAAATGCAGATAGTTTTCTAATCTTAAAGACAGATAGTTTTCTCATGATCATGATTAGTATTTAGATTAATAATTAATAAAGAAAACTCAACACTTATTTTATCATTGACTTTTTTGTGTATGCTTAACGCTTGTAAACCATCAAAAGATAATTTATTCTTTACCTACGAATTATTGGACAAGTTTCGCACCACCTACTAATTATTTGACTGGTCTCACACCCCTTTACGAATTATTATACTAGTTTCGCACCCCCTACGAATTATTTGACTGGTCTCACACCCCTTTACGAATTATTATACTAGTTTCGCACCCCCTACGAATTATTTGACTGGTCTCACACCATTTTACGAATTATTATACTAGTTTCGCACCCCCTACGAATTATTTGACTGGTCTCACACCATTTTATGAATTATTATACTAGTTTCGCACCCCCTACGAATTATTTGACTGGTCTCACACCATTTTACGAATTATTATACTAGTTTCGCACCCCCTACGAATTATTGGACAAGTTTCGCACCACCTACTAATTATTTGACTGGTCTCACACCCCTTTACGAATTATTATACTAGTTTCGCACCCCCTACGAATTATTTGACTTGTCTCACAACCCTTTACGAATTATTATACTAGTTTCGCACCCCCTACGAATTATTTGACTGGTCTCACACCCCTTTACGAATTATTATACTAGTTTCGTACCCCCTACGAATTATTTGACTGGTCTCACACCCCTTTACGAATTATTATACTAGTTTCGCACCCCCTACGAATTATTGGACAAGTTTCGCACCACCTACTAATTATTTGACTGGTCTCACACCCCTTTACGAATTATTATACTAGTTTCGCACCACCTACGAATTATTTGACTTGTCTCACACCCCTTTACGAATTATTATACTAGTTTCGCACCCCCTACGAATTATTTGACTGGTCTCACACCCCTTTACGAATTATTATACTAGTTTCGCACCCCCTACGAATTATTGTTTGCACCTTCTACAAAATTAAAAATGTATTCAATTTTTTGTTAATTAGCCGGCTCTAATATATTTATAGAATTGCAAGTAGAACTGTAGAATTATTAAGAAAATAATCTTGTAGTCTAATAATTCGTAGGGGGTGTCAGTGTCAGTCAAATAATTAGTAGGTGGTTAGGTTAAGAAACATTAATCTTAAGATTGTACGACTTAATTTCCTGACATATATGATATATTTTGAAAAGAAGTTATTTAAATTAATTGGAATATATTTTAATAGTTTGGAGATGTATTTTTCATTTTCCTGTGTAGACTACTTGCCAGTTAAAGTGCACACTGCAGTATTTGTACTGAGAAAATTAAACACTACCTTTCATTATATATGTACATACATGCATATATGTATACATGTATTATATTTATATATATATTATATAGTATATAAAGCTGAGTTGTGACGATGTTTGTATGTAAGTAAGTGGGCCGATCAACCACGAGATAAAAACTAATGTATCACAAATAATTTGACATGGTCAATTCTCCTGACTTACAGATGGTTCCCCCAACCTACAGATGGTTCCCCGACCTACAGATGGTTCCCCCCGACCTACAGATGGTTCCCCCCCCCCCGACCTACAGATGGTCCCCCCCTCGATCTACAGATGTTACCCCCACCCCCCGACCTGCAGATGGTTCTCCCCCGATCTACAGATGTTACCCCCCCCCCCACTCCCCGACCTGCATATGGTTTCTGGAAAGTTTGGTCATAATCCCTTATCCCAAAAGCTTTATTTAAAAAAAAAGAGTAAACTATAGAGGTTAAAGTGTAAAATGTAGAGGGTAAAGAGTAAAATGTAGAGGGTAAAAAGTAAAATGTAGAGGTTAAAGAGTAAAATGTATANTCCCCGACCTGCATATGGTTTCTGGAAAGTTTGGTCATAATCCCTTATCCCAAAAGCTTTATTTAAAAAAAAAGAGTAAACTATAGAGGTTAAAGTGTAAAATGTAGAGGGTAAAGAGTAAAATGTAGAGGGTAAAAAGTAAAATGTAGAGGTTAAAGAGTAAAATGTATAGAGTAAAGAGTAAAATGTAGAGGGTAAAGAGTAAAATGTAGAGGGTAAAGGGTAAAATGTAGAGGGTAAAGAGTAAAATGTACAGGGTAAAGAGTAAAATGTACAGGGTAAAGAGTAAAATGTAGAGGGTAAACAGCAAAATGTAGAGGGTAAAGAGTAAAATGTAGAGGGTAAAGAGTCAATATTATTTTATGTTCATATTGAATGGCTCCGAAGGATGTTCAAGTTAAGTTTTTTTTTTTTTTTTTTTTTTTTTTTTTTTTTGGGGGGGGGGGGGGTAAAATTGATGAGAATAGAAATGTCTCAAAGGCACAAACCATGTTACAGACGGAACAAAGGCAAACCATGTTACAGACGGAACAATTTCAGGCCATCTTAGATGACACTTTTAAACTAATTTATTGACACGTTCAACATTCAGTCTAAGCTTCAATAAGTTTGTCCAGATAGTGTTGACTGACAGCTGATGGTTGACTCGTTGGTGTTAAAGATGTCCTTTTTATGTTCCTTTAAGTCTCTATGATTTTCATCAAATGTTTCACAATTAGATTTAAATATTCAAATGTGTGTAGGAGCTTGAATGGTGTATTTTCCTTATAATAGCCAAAGCTATGCACGAAGGCTTACTATCAAGCTTCCAAGTAAATTGATCTAGACCGAAATTGGTAAAAAATACCTTTAATTATCACTTCTAAAATATTGGTGGATTTTAAAATAATAATATTCCCATTTTTGTGTCGGGGGATTCCCCTTCGTCAACCGATTGTTATGGGACATATTTTGTTAAATAAAGTTTGTTCCTTATCCAACCTGGCCAAGCTATACTACTCACTACTGTTAACTATAAAAGAGTAGGTTCTTTTTGCTTATGTGAGCCACATAACTTTAAAATGACACTTAATGGATAGATGTTCACAAAACTTGGTGCAAATGCACTTTAAAATCTCAATTAAAAACTGGAAGGTTTTGAACTCATAAACAAAATAAATGTTCGGGTCATGTTTATTGATTTCGTGTTCCTTATGTTCGCTACATCTCTTACATTTTTCAATAGATTTTAACGGGACATATTTTATTATTTTTTTTCTTGGTTATTTACCTGATGAATTATTTAGGACCCTATCTTAGTGATAATTAAAACGTCAACCGGGTCATGCAGTTGTGGCATTTTGTTTTAAATGTTTTAATGTCCAGATAATGACTACAAACAAACCCAATTTTTTTTATTTTTACAAACGGTATGTTAGGAAAAAAATAATGCAATATTTTAATAAGTTCTTTATCGTTACAATTAGGTTTAGAGATTACGAAAATGTCATTGGGATCTAAAATGTTATAGAAATTTAGGTTAAGATTGATAGATATCTATCATTTTCACTGGAATTTCCACAGTATCGGTTAATAGATCTTTTTTTTAAACTTTCTTGAAACTTCTTATTATAGAACGTTAGAGTTTTATTATAGGGTTTTAACATTTACAAATGTCATTATATGTTTCTATTGGTGTTAATGACTGTCCCAAAATGTTATGAATTCAGATTGAAAGATATTTTTGAAGTTTCTAGACCTTTCCAAATGAGTGCAAGAGGTTCTACAATGAATTGTTCTTACAATAGCCCAACCAGTACAAGGAGACTTAGGTTACAATTATAGCGGTTACTTAAATGATTGCATCCAGGCCAAACATGGGAAACTATTTTTTTCATTTGCCTTTTAAAAATATCGGTGGATTTTAAACTAATAATACCCACTGTATTTTAAACTACTAATTACCGATGGATTTCAAACTAATGATAGCCACTGGATTTCAAAGTAATAATATACCCTGGATTTAAACTAATTATATTCACTGGAGTTTAAACTAATAATATCACTTGGAATTAAACTTTTTAATATCCAATGGATTTCAAACTAATAATATCCGCATCGTAAAGATGGAGGCAATTAGTCCATATTAAAATACACTTTTTTTAATTTAATTACTTTAGTGTTGTACAATTATTATAAGCCTCTTAAATACCAGACAAAATAATTTTATGTCCTAAATTATATTACTGACATCCGATAATTTCACGTTAGTGTTACAATGTCAAACCTGGGCACTGAATAAAAGTCTGGAGAGAAAACTATTCACCTGCGAGATGAGATATTTCAGGTGAGCTGCTGTTAAAATAAGAAGGTGTCACATTCGTAACAAGTAAATAAGAAAAATGGTTGATGCCATCCCAATCAGCCAGTATATTATTATTATTAGTAGTAGTAAATTTTTTCTATAGCGTGGTACCCCAGCATAGGGCTGGGCTCACCACGCTGTACATATAATTTAACAAACATAATCATGAACTTAAAAATTAACATAAATTAATTAAATAAAACAAAACAAATTTATATTCACTCCAGACATTCAAGAACTACTTTCATGTCAAGCCATGGACGGCTACTCGGCAGCATCGTGTATGAATTAGAAAGGTTTGGGGGGGGGGTGAAATCAGTCAGGATAGTAGAGTTTAAAGAGATGTGTTTTGGGTGCAGTTTTGAGGGCTGTGATGGGTGGTACATTGCGGATGTGTAGTGGAAGAGAATTCCATTGTTTGGGGGCACAGAAAGAGAACGATCGTTCACAGTATGTTTTTGTGCGAGTCTTGGGGACAGAAAATTAATGTGTTTGGACACCTGGTCAGAATACCTGTCAACAAATCTGCATTGCACACGTGCAATGGTAGGCATTCAGTACAACCGCAGGCACTCAGTACAATGGCAGGCACTCCGGTTCCCGGAATATTAACTGAGACGTGATGGGCCCCAAATTCAATGTTTACAAGTGTTGTTCTAACTTTGTCCTTTATAGGAGAACATTGAAATGTCAATAGTTTTTGACTACACCTCTGCTTAAAACCCTTTACGAGATTTTATCCTAATGCAAACCCCAGGGAAACCGGGTATTTTGACTAATATACATCATATATATTATCACATTACTTTTATTATTTAAGGTAAGCTTTGTCTACTATTTAAACACATTGCATTTTCTTAGATGTTCAGAAGGAAGATAACAGATATTCAAAAGCAGTTTAGTAAATGGTTCATTCTAAGGGCAGGCAATTATTTCCTATTTTTAATTCAATATCGTCCACAAGTTAGTGATAAGCGGGTCAGCACTTGAAGCCAGGGATTTCCATGATGGGTGCGCACTCCTGAAAGATTTGGGGCAAGTTGTTCCAAGGGGCGTGAAGAGATTAATAATGACATATTTATGATTTTGAACAAAATAAATGAAAGTAAGGAGGCCTCAAGATCAATTGAGTTATTCCATCAGATCTAAAGGATGTGTCCAACTCAACGCTGTTACAATAATTCACACATTACTTAGTGTTATCATTCTATGCTGAATAGCGCAGTCCGGGGGCAACGAGAGCGGGCACATCCCCAAAGGACAACAAAATAATTAATTAATTAATTTTAAACAAATAGATAAATAAATAAAAAAAAAAAAAAACAGAAATAAAACAAAAANAAATTGTATCATGTCTAGGATATGTCTCAGACTAAATTGTATCATGTCTAGGATATGTCTCAGACTAAATTGTATCATGTCTAGGATATGTCTCAGACTAAATTGTATCATGTCTAGGATATGTCTCAGACTAAATTGTATCATGTCTAGGATATGTCTCAGACTAAATTGTATCATGTCTAGGATATGTCTCAGACTAAATTGTATCATGTCTAGGATATGTCTCAGACTAAATTGTATCATGTCTAGGATATGTCTCAGACTAAATTGTATCATGTCTAGGATATGTCTCAGACTAAATTGTATCATGTCTAGGATATGTCTCAGACTAAATTGTATCATGTCTAGGATATGTCTCAGACTAAATTGTATCATGTCTAGGATATGTCTCAGACTAAATTGTATCATGTCTAGGATATGTCTCAGACTAAATTTTATCAATAAATTCAGAGCCTATTAAGAGACCACTCACTTATTCTATCTAAAAATATAAAATCCAATTATAAGAATAAGTCAGTATATAGTAAAATACGAAAAACATTTCCACTGTTGTACACTGCACAACAAAGCCAGAGAGATTTTAAGAAGATCTTTCCAAAATAGGCCAACTGATTTAAAGATCATTTCAAGAAATGTCTTCTGATTTAAAGATCCTTTCAAGATAGGCCAACTGATTTAAAGATCTTTCCAAGATAGGCTAACTGATTTAAAGATCATTTTATGTCTTTAAAAAACAACAAATTAAGATCACTATTTAAAAATGTTGAATCTTTTCTTTAAACATATGTTGAGTGCAAAGTGATACTCACCCAATATTTTGCTCAGTTCAGCATTGTGTATGTCGGGGTTCTCACCAGCCAGTCGTTTCCTTTCATCTTTGGCCCACACCATGAAAGCGTTCATGGGACGTCGGATACGACAACGGGCCGTCTCCCTGCGCCCCTGGCCCTGGAGTCTCAAAAAGGCCCCCCGGGTATCGAGGGGTGTGAACTGCAGTCGTCCAGATATGGGGTGATGCCAGTCGACTCCGTACTGACCAAAAGGAATGGACTCGACACCAGTGACCGTGTCTGACTGAAGGAACGGGCACGTTAAGCTGACTGTTGGCGGAGGTCTCACCATGCCTGAGGCTTGCATGATTTTCCAGAATTGTATTCCTCGTAGGCTGTTGTAATACAAATCAGTTTAAACTTTTCAATACCAGGATTGTCGTAACGTCGCTACTAGAGAATGTCGTAACATGGTTGCTAGAATAATCCATCGGGTGTAAGCTTTTACTGGGTGGTTGTCATCTTAGAAATGAAATAACCAATCAACATATTTTATCCGCATACAAGTTACGTTAATGCCAGTGTGCCAACCGACTGTCCAAAAGTGGGCTGATATTTTGGTCAACTGGATTGTTTTAAAGTTTAACTCAAATATTATCAAAATGACAGAACTCCTCAGCGAAATGAATTACCTGGCTTTAAATGTTCCTTTTTAATCCACCAGAATCACAAACCGCGGTAGTCAGGCACAGAAAACACACACATTATCTCATATACAAAATTCGCAACTGAATTTTTTTTGTTTCTAAATTCCAATCCAAAGAGCAGATCCTGGTTGTCCTCTGAACACTTGCGGGTAACTCTGTGGTGATTTTTGTTTCTCTGTAATTATTACAGAATCCTTCCAAAGAAAATAGCTGATACAGAAAATTATCCTAAAACCTTTAACAATCCACGAAGATGAACAAATATTTAAAAAAAACTTCTTGATAATAATTGAAGCAATGAAAAAAAAATCAATCATTTCTTTCTTTACTTTTTAAAAAAAAATTATTGTTTTGTTTTTCCCCCACTTCTTTTTTAATCCACAATTGATTCTGTTGAGGGAAAGGTCCAAGGCAACTGTCTGTTATTTTGTTCAGAGACTCACCATTTCGCTTACTTTCTCTTGAACACTAAGAGACGGTCTAGTGTTTCCGACTGTCCACCAACACGGAAATGTGAGAAGTAAGCCATGCCGTCACGACTGGAGATGTCTGGTCTCTCTTATGCCACCCTGTGTTGACTGTTGCTAATTACTCTAACTAATTGATTGACCTATTTGTTCTGTGGAATGGAGAAAAGAAAACCCACCATCCCGCGTGAAGTAGCCCTGGCCTGGTAAGTCACTCGACGTGCAGTATGGTCAGACACTCGACTCCCAGCATGCGCGTATGGCCCCTAAAGTCGAGCTCTTCTCGCGGTGCTACGGACGGTGTGATAGGGGACTATCAAGGAGATGCCAGGTCACGGCGGATGAAACGTCTCATCGCCTGATACACTCAGTTCCTCGCGAGTGAGTTAAGGCCCTTGTTTCGGTGCCATCCACAGAAGAAAACGTTTAGCAGACGACGGTCGGTAAGTTGATGGCGGTACCCCCCTCCCCCTCCCCCCACCTCCTCACTGCCCTGGCCTCTGTAGTGTCTCTCCTGGCATTATAATGAGCATCTTTTGTTACTCAACTGGAAAGTTTAAAAAACCGGAATCCTCATATTTAATAAAGCCACAAAACAATATTCTCCCTGTTAAGTTCGTTTTTCGCCTCTCCGTCCTTACACGTCTGCACTGTTCAAACTATTGCCGTACACGTCTGCACTGTTCAAACTATTGCCGTACACGTCTGCACAGTTCAAACTATTGCCGTACACGTCTGCACTGTTCAAACTATTGCCGTACACGTCTGCACTGTTCAAACTATTGCCGTACACGTCTGCACTGTTCAAACTGGTGAAAAAAATGGAATCTCAAATGGACATGCCGATAAGAGCTTGAGCGAAGGGCTACAAATGTTCACAGCTTGTGTGAAGCTCGACGTCATCAACCGTGGAGACCCCAGTCACCGAGACCGAAAGATGTTGGAGCTCTACTTATACCAAGAGGACTTCTAAATATAGCTATATTTATTATCTTTAACCAATGAAATAAAGAAAAAGCCTAATCGAAAAAAAAAAATATCTTCCACACTGATTGGTTGAGCTCGAAGACGTCATTGATGGATCTAATCTATAAATAGTACCAATCGGTGAAGCCGGGTGCCCTGACCCTGTCTATTTTATCTGAGTCCTGTGACCTTGATAATGAGTGAAAGTATTTAACGACTTTTACACACCCATTATCTAAGCCGACCTAGCACAGAGCTACATTTAGACTCTTTGATACCTTCTACAATACGACACATGCAAATGCCGAGGTCAAGAAAGAACTAAATCATAAATGAACACAGCTCTCTGTCGATGTTTCAATCACAGCTGGTCATTGTCAAAATTGCAACAAAAGAAATAAAAATTATTGTTGTTTGCAACGGTTGAGCTCATTGGCCAGTGTCTCAGGTCCAAGGTCCCAGGTCTGTAAATGTAATCTATAAATATAACAAGATTTTAAACTGAAGAGAAACAAAAAGAAATTAAAACAATTGTGCACAACTTGTGGCTGTGTTTTATTAACATTGGGTGGGGGGTGGGGGGGGGGGTAATTTGATGAGTTTACATTTCATTTATAATTTGGATAAGGTGCAAATATCTGTATATGATACTCTCTGAGAAAGGACGCCGTGACACCCTCTCAGATAGGACGCCATGAAAACATCGCAGATAGGA